TTTTACGAATGTCGACAGACTTTTCTCACATTGGTACTTGGTACAATGTTCTTGTAATTAATCAGTTTCAAGTGGGAGTTTTACGTAGATAATATTAAATAAGATTATTTGTTTTTATTAGTGAGATTTTAGATAGAGTAGAAATATTTGATACATTTTTTTTAAATGTCAAGTTTTGTAGATATTGCGTTACGTGTAACTTAATACGTAATTCTGAATTTAATTGCTGAAAATTATATAGGTTTTTCCTATTCAAAACATAAATTGTTTTTCAAAAATTTTTTAATGGTAAAAAATGTTTGTAAAAACAAAATCAAAAGAATATTTTTTCTAAGTTCATTCTCAGTATCAAAAGGGTCTTTTCCATACTCTTCATGTGTTCTGTCAGGTGCACAATGAGAAGGCCTAGTGGTGAGAGAGAGGGCCGAAGATAAGCGAATAAACCCACTCAGGATAGTTTGAATCAACTCTGATTTCAAATCTAGGTCCTAGAATGCATGCTAGTACCTTTATCGCCAGACGTGAGAACGGTGGTAAAGGCATTTTAGTTTACGTAGATATTATGATAATTCATGTTTTCATTTTTTTCAATACGTATTCTAATTAATTTATATATTTACAACAATTCAATATTTAACAGTTTGTTTATATTATTTATTTACAATTCATTTCACAAGTTTAATTTAGATATGTTGGTTCTATTCGAACAAATTTTCCTGGAAAAATTATAAAACTAAAATTAAAAAAAGCACGTGAATTAAGTTTGTGATTATCTTTAAGTAACATCAACAAAAGGATGTCGAAAGACAGAGTAATTTTTATATTACCTAAATAACGAAAGAACCGTAATTGTCTTTAATAAAATAATAGGGTTTTGACACTTCTTTTTTCACTATACGTACTGTATTTTTAAATTGCGAGTTTGTAAACAATGTATCGTTAAGAAACTGGAAGTTCTAAATTATAGTTGTCAATTGTGTTATACTTTTCTCTCTATTACATATCATTAAATACTATAGGAGAAAACATTAAATTATACTATTATAAAAAGTACTAGAAAATTATTATTATATAAAATCTAGTGGTATGGTATATATATTCACTAAATTATAATAAATTTAATAATTTTATTAAAATATAACAATTAATAATAATTAAAATATTTTTCTTAATTCTTATTATTCATGTGAAAGAAACAATTTTGAATTTTATAAAATGTGAAATTTGTCCAAAATATTTTATTTGGAACAAATAATAGTTTTTAATCTGGTAGAGATTTTATACTAATTAAGGTGTTTCCATCACAGATGTAAAAAGTTTCAAATGGGTTTCCCATTTGAAACCATTTGAAACGTTCTGTATTAATAACTTTTTATATGGTTTATATGGTTACAATAGTTAAATCAAAAGAAATAGCTTTACATTATCCATGATACTAATGAATTATTTAATTAAGTACTTTCGCTTTTGGCAAGAAAAATTACTTCAGTTTTCGAAACAATTCATGTCCGATATTTTTATTGGTAGTTTAAATCGTTATTTTTGCTGACGTAATAAACTCAGTTGTCGTGTAGTTTGGTAACTGAAATTGCACGTGCGGCTGAGTGGGTGGTGTGAAGTAGTTTTCTTGGTAGGGAGTGGGTGACAACGTCGTAGATCTTTGATGTAACATCTCGTCGTACAGACTTAGGGACAGTTACTAAGTTAATATATTTGAACTTATATACTTAAAAACTAAATACAATAAAATTGTATTTAGTTTTTAAGTATTTAGTATATAAAATCAATGCTAATATGTACATATTAGCATTGATTTTTTTTTCTTTTTACAGTATGTTCGNACAAACTTAGGGACAGTTACTAAGTTAATATATTTGAACTTATATACTTAAAAACTAAATACAATAAAATTGTATTTAGTTTTTAAGTATTTAGTATATAAAATCAATGCTAATATGTACATATTAGCATTGATTTTTTTTTCTTTTTACAGTATGTTCGAGAGAATTGTTTCCCTCAGACGGGAAATGATGCAATTCCATACAGTTGCAAGTATTGTAGAAATGTTGCATGCACTGTTTAATCTTACAAGTTAGTATAGATGGTTTCTGCCAAGGATAAGATTCTGATTTCTTGGCTTGAATAATAACTGTCTTTCCACATTTTGGTTCATACTTATCTTCTGAGGATAACATGGCAGTGCTATTGTTATTTTCTCGTATTTCACATACTTTCATTTGAGTTTGAGTATATTGCGTTTGAATAGATTTATCTGTTACTAAAGTAAGTTTTTTCTAGCAGTATGGTATGTATATTCCTTCTGCTCTCCTTGTTTTCCCGTCTGTTCCTATCATTGCAACATAATCTATGTAAGGATGGCAGCAACATTTATGATAAGTGGAAAGGGATCCCAATTTAGTTAACAAAAGTGAAAGTATTTTAATTAAAGAATCCATCCCTTCTATTATGGATAAGGTGAAGTTATTTCCTTTGATTCCACAATTTTCTGTGAGATAAAGTGAAAATGTTATTTCAATCCTGTTAGAATAGTGAATATATTTTTCTTGGATCTTTTATTTGTTAGTTTTCCTTATTTAATTTAAGATTTATTAAACTTACCTACATCTGTTTTTAAAAACAGATGTAGGTAAGTCAGCACTACAGTTATGTAGAAACATTATAATAATTTCCAAAAAAATTCTCAAATAGACAATACTTTGAAAGGGACAAAGTATGAGGACAATTTAATCAATACAAACATAATTTCTTTTTTATATAGTAATAAGCAAAATTTTATTGTTTGAAATATGCTGAAAAACGACAAATACAACACACACATTACAAAAAATTTTATTTTAGCCAAATATTTCCATATTTTCTCTTTAACTAATTTACTTTACTATTATCTTAAGAAATCTTGGAGTTTCATTATTTCCTGTATACATTTCCTGGTCTATTATTATTTTTTTAAAATTAATTTGTTTATAGTTATATATTACTTTATAATTTCTTAAAATTTTAATTACTTAAAAATACTGCAAATATTAAATAAAATATTATTATTATATACTAATAAAAAAACCACCTCATAATCTGGAAAAGAATATAAATACTCAGACATCTTATGTATTGTTCCAGCACATAGATTTAATGTAAAAAACAATAACTAAAGTTTTTGATCACTTTCAGAGATCATCAGGTTAATATACTGTTCCATAAATCAAATGTTATTCCAACAGTTTTTTTAAAAAGATTATTATTATATTGTTAATGTCAATTTTATTTTGCTGTACTGTAGAGTTAATGTATTTAATGTATATAATTAAAATATAATAATATATAATTTGCAAATATGTTTTGAATATTTAAAGACATTAAAAAATTGTATTTAGTTTTTCATACAAATAATTTTCAAATAATTCAATTTTTTTTTTTTACATTTTAAAGTTTAAATTAATAA